CAGCAGGAAGGAGGACAGGAAATTGAGTGACCCACCTGACCAGGTCGATGACCCGTTCCCTCGGTGCAGCGCTGACGGGCTCATCATTGATCATTACGATCTGATCTCCTGGGATCAGCTTGCCTTCCGAGGGGCCACCTGGACACAAATGAGAGTGAGTGCGATGAGAAGACCATTGCCGATCCATCGACAGCCTCCGCTCCTGATCACAATTCACTGTAAGCAAATGGTGCTATGGGCAAAAAACCAAATCCAGCCCCACCTGGGCATTCTTGACATCTGTGCTTTTCGAGAAAGAACTGGGAGCTCTGGACGAGCCCGAGGCCCAGGCCACACCCTGGCCAACTGGATCAGATCTTGGGAGGCGGGACTCAGGCATTAACATCTCTCTAAAATCTCCCAGGCAAGGTTGAGACTCAGAGGCCTCGTGGCGCTTCTCACACTTTACCGGGCACACACGTCACCCGGGACACCTTGTTGGCCTGCAGACTGATTCAGTAGGTTGGGAGGGTACGGGATGAGATAATGCATTTGTCACAAGCTGCCAGGGGCTGCTTATGCTACCGGTCCACTGGCCAAACTTTGAGTATTACGACTTCTAGAAGATGGTATTCCCCCAACAGGTAGCCGAATCAGCTGTGTTGATGCCCACAGGTGCGACAGACAATCTGGGCACACCACGAGTGGAACAAAGTTGCATTTACTTAGCCATTATGACTGGGGAGCGTTCAAGGAAATGGGGGTTTGCTCTCAGGAAGTCAGGGTAATTGGATCTGAGCATTTTAATAATTCTTGTCTGACAGATGGGAGGAAGGAAGCACAGCTGCAGCTGGGACTGAGAAAGGTGTCACTCCTCTCAGCTGGGAGATGGGCTGTTAGGTCATTTTCGTGGGGCAGACGATGCTTAGATGTGTCTGTGGTCACCTGTGATTACAGAGAACGCTTGTTTTGGTCCTGATCCATCACAGTCAGTGGGAGGCCTTGTCTGATGCTCATGTCGAGTGAAACTGTTCACAGTCAACAGGAGAACACCCAGGCCCGGCTGTGAGCGCCTGCCAGCTCCTGGTGTCAGGGGCTGCTTTTCTCTCTTTCAGTTGTTCTTCCAAGGAGGAGGTAGGGAACTACTATTTGCTGGGCTTTGTTACGCACCGGGCAATGGGTTAAATTCTCTGCCTACTAACGTCCCTGAATGCTATAATCCCTTCCGTGTAATGAGATAACTGAAGCTCACACGGGTTAAAGAATTGGCTGCAAGTGTAGGACTGAGTCTCAGCTTAAGACTTGATTCTTCCAAGTTCAGGGTGGCCGATATCTCTTTTGAACTCGCATCTATAGCTCAAAAGCTGGTTGCTGTCAGGTCTCTTGACACATAAAGTTAACGGCACAGTTGCATGAAGCACACATCTACATGAAATAAAACCTATAAACAAATAACTTCAACTACCTGGAACATCCTCACGTTTAATGTATTTTCTTTTCAAATAAGGACATGGTGCTATAATTTTAACTTTATTTCCAGAGGTCTGTCAGTGGGTAACGGGAGCAGCTGACACATTAGGCTTCAAATATTGTCACTATTACTTTATTTAGTAATTGAAATGAACACTTCATACCCAGAACATGGAACTCGAAGTCATTCAGTTGTTCTCAACCCACCCAGACACTTCGCATATGTGTCACTCAAGCAAATCATCCTCGAACAAAAACTTATCTTCTTTCTGGGGAGTAAGAAAAGTGGGGGGAACCTTAACATGTTCCCATATCAATGACAGGAGATGTTCATTTCAAGCTGTGGGAACTAAGTGTCAGTGTTTGCACACATAAGGAATTCTGAAAATCCTTTGGGAGACCTTTTATAACTATTGGATAATGTTCAAGCAATCACTCCAATTCAGTCAAACAAACGGTTAGAAATCAAATGCTGGTCAAATACGGAGCATTTTTCAAAATAATTATTTGGATGATGGATGTTAACTACTCTGATGAGAAAAGCACTTGCTCGTTAACAGGACATATTCATATTTGAGACCTATTTTTTTCATCAAATGAAAATATTCATGTTTAATCAAGAGATTTGAATCAAAAATTCTAAAGAGAGCAACATATAGTTCCTTCCAAAGTATGAGGCAGAGGCACATATCAGAGAATCATCTCGTGCCCTTTCGTCTAAAGCCTGGGTTGTCTAGCATAGAAAATCTGGTCACGCTGCTGAAATCACTCAGAACGTCAGTAGAGTCATTTTTATGATAGACGCTGTTTATTTGAGCAGAATTTTCACTCCTAAAAATGACTGGAAACAGTAATCTTTGACCTCTGTTTTCTCTTTTTCCTACTCTTCTCAAAATTGTCTAACACTACGTTTTAGTATCTGAAGCTAAAGAGCGTTGAGGGCAAGGAAGGGAAGAGGTTGAAAGAACGGGGAGGCGATCCAGGAGATTGAAAAATAAGACTTGAAATCTCTAGTCAACTCCCAGGAGGACACCTCCTTGAAAGAATCTCATAACCAGAGATGTCAAAATGTCGCACTAGTACAAAAGAGCGTGCCGAATGTGATCCCATTTAGAAAAAAATATGGGTATACATATACGTATAATACTACACGTGTCTGTACAATATTACGTGTATGTACACATGGAATCACCTACTATATACATGTTCTCTGGGTACACATTAATAATGTTTAATTCTGAGCGGTAGGTGCTCAGGTGATTTGGTTTTTTGTTTTCTCTTTCTCCTCTATATTATCTACCGCATTGTATTTTTCATGAAGCGTACGTATTATTTTAATAAAAAGCGACAAATCTCTTTTGTTTTGAGGATAAAATTCTCAACGGCATCAAGCTCAACAACTCCACACAGAGAACTAAAATATGATCTATAGCTAATGAAATCAAAAGCTCGGCAGGCAGAGTAAGAAGTTGTGTTGGCGAGGCCACGGTAGGAGAAAAAAGGAAACAGATTTTTGTCTGCACGAGTTGAAAGGGTTTGACTATAGCTGTGGTGCTCACCCTGGGGCATATTATATCAAAATAACAAAAAAATGAAAAATTAAATCAACTTTAAAAAATCTGTATTAGCTCACTTAGTTGGCTTTCGTTGCTCTTAACTGACAAACTCAGCTGCCCAAATACTTTAGGGTTTAATAAGAATAAACATCACGGAATAAGTATGTTCAACGTATTTCATTCACTCCCTCGCCCTATAAGGTAGATACTACTATGATCTTCATTATCCAGATGATGTAGAGAAGTTACATCAAACTGAAATGCTGGAGCGTTAACACGGAAGCTAAAAAATCTAATAAGGGGCAGAGACAGGATTCGAATCCATCAAACCCAGGCGGTCTGATGCCAGAGTCTGTGTTCTTTACTACTGAACTCTGCTACTCATTTGCGAAATCCCAGAGAGAAACAGCACAGAAGATGGCTTCGTTTGGTCCAAAGATAAATCAAATATAAGTCCATTAAAAGAAGTACATAAATATGTATAAGAAATGAATAATTAAAAGAACGTTGTCCCGGAAAAGGCAAAGGCAGCCCACTGCAGGCAACTGGATCATAGCGCATTACATTCAACTGTGTTGATGGTGGAACATCTGTACACTCTAACGAGCATGACTGCGACAGAGTACGCGAACTATCTGATCGTACTGCAGAATTTAAGGGATTTACCACGCACTGTATCAGTCAGCGTTTATTGTGTATGATAAACCACCCCAAAACTCAGTAGGGTATCCAATAATCATTTCTCCTCATGCTTATGGGTCTTTAGATTGACTGATCGAGGCCAGGCTCGGCCGGGCAGTTCTGCGTCACACTGCAGATCAGGCTGTACTAAGATCTAGGCTGTAGGCTGGCTGTCCTAAGTGTTCATTTTGGGGCTCAGGCTGTAGGGGTAGCAACCACTTGAGGGAAATTCTCACGGCCACAGCAGAAATCCAAGAAATAAGCTCAAATGCATAAGCATATTGCAAGCCTTAGCTTATGTCATCTTTGCTGATATGCCATTGGCCAAAATCAGTCCCTGGTCCAGCCTAAGAGCAATGGGATGAGGAAATACCTTCCGCCTCTAGTGGGATGGAGGGGAGAGCATCTTTGTACAATAATCCAACCACACCAATGACTAAATCCTACGATAACTTAAAAACCACTGCCTGCTTTTTGATTACTAAGGAGACCATCATGAGCTTACTAAATACAGTACAGTGCCTGCCTCTTATTATTTCCATTCATACATTAAGAAATGGGTCATTTCCATGGTTACAAATGATGGATCAGTGTTTTTCTAAGTCAAAGGAGATATTGGATTTGGTAGTCTAAACCTAGTTTGCAGAGCCATTTTGTCCCTCCAGTGGTCCGACTCCATCTAGGTGTTAGGAAAACTCAACTAGCCTCCGCAGCCTGCAGGGGAACAGTATGAACCTTATGAAACTGAACAGCAGTCATTGTGGCAGGGTGTGACGGGTGGTCCCAGGAGACCGAGGAGCAGGATTGGGTGCTTACCTGGTGTGACAGAGCGAACGACCACTGGCTTTTCACTCCCTGCCACGAAGCCGAATCCCAGGACAGGGTCCCGCCGCATCTCCACCTTCCGCGGGGCAGGAGGGATGATTTGGCAGCTCTCTAACCGAGGGTCGTCAAATGGGATCGCCTGTGTCATGGGGCTGTGAGAGGAGCACACACAAGAGAAAAGGGGCATCAATGTGAGTTGGGCCATCGCCTAGTAATCACATTCTCTCCAGCTTCAAAACCTTCTCTGTTTGGTGGAAAGTGGGAAAAGCATCGGGAGACCCATAGTCATGCTTCTTGGGTGGCCTTCTCGGTTCTGGAAAAACAAGGGCCCATGTCCGCTTTAGGTCTTTGAACTGACTGTTCTCCTAAATAGAAATCCTTGTCCCGCAGACACCTGTATGGCTTGCCCTCACATCTCCCAAGTCTCTGCTCAATTGTGACCTTCTTGGACTATCCCGGTCACATACTTTAAGAATGCAACCCTACTCCCCCCCCCCCCAGAATCCCTCACCCCCTCCTCCCTAAAAAAACTTCTACCTTTCTTTTTTTTTTTTTCCCCATAGCACTAATCACTTGCTAACGTGCTGTGGAATAGACTCATTTTTATGCTCGTTTTTACTGTTTTGCTCTCCACATTAGAATGTAAGCTTCACGAGGGCAAGGAGCTTTGTTTCGTTGACTGATCTGTTCCAGGTGTCTAGAACAGTGCCTGGCACAAAGTGGATTTTAAATAATGCAATTTAAAAGTAAAAGAAAAGGTATTTCTTTGTGGAAAACTGTCAAATTATAACTGATATGCTGAGAAAGAACCTCAAAGAGTTATGGACATTGGGTAGGTAACGTGCATGGCTTCTGGCTCCAGGGAAATTGAAGTGACGGGGATCATTTTGGTGGTAGTAGGTTATCTTGGTGTCGAATACATTCTTCCTTTCCAAAGAAGTTGAAAAATTAAACTTTGCCATTTCTTTTCTGGAGAAATTTTCGAGTGATTTAAATGAATCTTTTTGTTAACACCTAAACTTCAGAAACCTTTATCAATAATGTAAACTTGAAATGCTTATAGCATTTGACAAATTTTTAAATAAATGCTTCCACAAATGTCTTTTTGATCCACGAAACAATCTTGAGAATGAGGGAGCAGAGAAGGTATTATTTTCTTCATTTCCCAGTAAGGAAACTAAGATCGAAATAGTAGCTTCTTGTCACTCAGGGCCCATGGCTGGTGTGCCAACGCGTCAGATCAAAAACCAACTCCGGTGACAGTTAATGAAGTCTTCACTTGTGCACATTAGCCAAGGCAGACTCCTTCGGAGGGAAGAGTTATTAGTATGGACTCTAGAAATCTCCTTAAAGTAATGTAAGCCAAGATTATTTCGACGACATAGACTTAATGCAATTTTCTCTCTCTCTAATCTTCTTCAATAAGTAAAACCAGATCATTTTTAAATACCTTCAAAGATGCTACTCTATGTGCCGTCTGGACAACATATTGTTTAAATGTAATGAAGAAAAGCAGAGAAGGAGGAATCCTGTCGTCCTTCTGTGTAATTAATAAGAGCTAAGAAAAATCAATGAAAACCCTCCAGGATCCGTCCTTTAGGTATATATCACTGACTAGGAAAATAAAGTTTGAAATCCCTTCCAAACAGAAAGGAAATGTCTTTTCGATTGAGCAGCTTGTGATCTGGAACGTTAGGGCAAAGAGAAGTGTTAGTTGACAGCTAACATATTGTGCTGACACTCATCAGTTATCTTATTTCATGTTCAGAACCCCCCTACAATGGAGCCAGGTGAGCTTGCCCAACTCCTCTCTTTGCAAATGTCGAGAGGAAGAATAACTGAACCAAGGTCACAGTCTTCTCAGGTGTGAGCCAGCTACTATTCACACCAGGTCTTCTGATTCCAGGTATCACGCGCTCGACCAGTTATGTAATTCGCAAGGACAGTACAAAATGAAACCGCGGGGCCCTTCATTCAAACACGATTAAGAACCTCAAGATGGCGGAACGTGAAACCCAGCCTAGGGCCGTGCGTGACTACATGGGTCGCATGCCCGTGAAGCTGGCCCTGGTCGTGTGCTATCCCCAATGTCCCACCACCACTCTAGAACCAGCTAGGCTCAGAGAAGCGGAGTACTGGGCTCAGAGCGAGGGGTCTGTCTGATGGGGACTGCAGGTGTTTCTGTGAACCTAGAGATTAGATATGGCTACCAAGGTGGCGCATGCGCCTGGCATGAAGGGAGGTGGGCAGACCCCAGTAGGCAGAGGGTCACATGCAGAGGCCTGGCAGACCAGAATTCAACCCTGATTAAAGCAGCAAAACCGATGCAGAGTGAACCCCAGTGTCTAGAGCAGGAGCCTCGGACAGGGCCCTGGGCAGGAAGGGCCTAAGATGCGGAGCAGGTAGGGAAGTCAAGGCCAGGAACCAGGACACCGGGAGGCCGTCTGATGTTCCTACATCAGGCCCCACTGGGCGGGAACCTGACATCCTGACATTGATCCCCCACAGGCCTGAAACAGGCATGGCTACGAGTGCCTGGGGGAGAATGGGGCCACTCGAGGTGGGGGTGGACACTGTTCTGTTCTCTTGTACCCCTCTGTAAGACAGCTCCAGCTCAGAGCGTGCAGTTCTTGAGCTCCCTTTGGAAATGGGACAAAGGACAAAAGGGAGGGGAAATCCATGGTTTTAGATTCGGGCCCTGAGCTCTGCGTTTGCACCACAATCCACAGAAGACATGTTCGAAATAAGGAAGGTCATAGAAGTGAAGTAACTCGCTAATGGTCACCTGTGTTTCAGAACAGAGACTTGAACCCTGGCTGGTAGAATTCTCAATTCCAAGTGCAGAGAGCGACTGGGGAAGACCTGCTGCTGCCAGGTCTCTGAAAAGCTTCCAGCAGTGGTTCCCAAGCTTTCCTACACTTCAGAACCACTCAGGAAGCATGACGAAGTTCTAATACCCAGACCTATGACATCGGAGTATCTGGGGGTGGGAGCCAGGGTCAAGTTTTAAAAAGATTCCCCAGGTGATTCCAAAGTGTGGCAAGGTTTGGAGGCCATTCACCTGCCCGGGGAAGGGTGGGTGCTGGCCCGCCTTCCCAATAAAGAAAAGGGGACACAGGTGATATCCCAAAGGTCGCCTCTAGCATCCATTGTAAATGCAAGTTAAAATACTGAAATCTTCCGGAGCTTGATTATCCTCTTCCTACTACATGATAAAGTAATAGTCTCAACTTTTTATTCATTACCCACTTAATAACTATTATATTATTATTTTATTAATACCTGGTATTTATTAAACACTAATTTCATGCTAAGCATTTTCCGAAATGCTTTCCATATGTTAGTTTATTTACTTCTCCGAAACAACTCCACCATACATTAATCAACAAATGTTTATCGAACGCCCACTGACTTCTCAGTTCTGGGGACATGATGGGAACAAAAGCAGAATAATAAAAATACAATGTTTACTCTAGTGTTCGGAGACAGAATAAACTAATAAATTAGTAAAATTTATGGCATATCAGGTCATTAGAAGCGCTAAGGAGAAAATTACTACGGGGAAGGAGGATAGAGAGCTGGTGGGTGGGGGTGCTGCAGTGTGATATCAGGGGTCCCGGAAATGCCTGCGGGAGGAGCATTTCCAACAGAGGGACCATCCAGTGCTAAGGTCCTGGTGAGAGCATGCCTAAGGGACAGCCCGGAGGCCAGTCAGTGGTGGGGGAGGCTGGAGGCGGTGAGGTGAGTGGTAGACAAGCATTGGGAGGGGGCGTCTTCCTTCACACATGGGGTGTTTCCGGTGAGGATCGACCTACGAGCACCTTGTCTAATGCAAGTCCTGACGTATCCAAATGGCATGAGACATTTTTCTCTCCAAGGAGCGAACACTTTCTGGTTTGCACAAGAAACACACAAATGCCCAGGTATAGGGTGAACCTGAGAACCGAGATGGTCGTTCGGAGCGACACTTTGGAGCCAGACTCCTGGGATTTGAATTTTGGCCCCATCACTTCCCAGCAGTGTGACCTGTACGAATGACTTCATCACTCTGTGCCTCAGTTTCCTCATCTGGAAAACGGCGAAAATAAGAGTAATGATCTCATAAGACAGTTGTGAAAATTAGATGCATGAGTAAACATAAAGCATTTAGCAAAATGTCCGGCACATATGAAGCACTCAAAAAGCAAGAGCTGTTCTTTTCATCGATTCGGGTCAATGAATAAAAAGGAATAGGTTTCAGACATAATGAACTCATTTAACTTGAAAATATGAAAACAAACTCAATAAAGTTTCAAATACCTATAGCCCAACGCTCAGTGAAATGCCTCAGAAATCCTAGGGAAACTCTGAGGCCTTCGATTTGAAAAATCATATCAAAATCAAGGACACGGTAAACACAGATTTAAATTGATATACAGGAGGCAATATGTATAAGAAGACAGAAGAATAAAAGAAGAATAAAATCCAGGTTCTCCAGCGACCGAATCGCTGTTGGTAAGACTTCCTCGACCATGTTCCTGGACCAGTAAGTGAACACGGAGCCCAGGGCTGGAAAGAAGGCCGGGTCATGGGGAAAGTAAGCACTCATTACGTTGAAAGGGTGGGACACAGGAGCAGGCCCTTTCATCTCAGACACTGCCATCCTGTGTATCAACAGAGAATCTGACAGTTTGTTCCTCTTACTTCATTGTCGTTTCCCCATCCAAATAAGGTTTAAAATACAACGAATGCGTATTTTTGTTGTCGCTGCTTGTGCTAGCATGTGTTTGTTGTTTATGTTTTCATTCTTTTGGATTGGCTTGCACTGAGGATAACCTTCTGATGGTATTATTTTCTTGCTCAACAGGTTATATTTTCAGAATAAATTATCTAAAAATAATCAACCGCT